GAAGCTTAATTTTGCTGGATACAGTATTCTTGGTTGGAATCCATTATTTTTCAGCGTTTGAAATACGTTGTTCCAGGATCTTCTCACTTTCAAAGTCTGTGATGAAAAATCCGTCGTTAACCTAATTGGTTTACCCCTAAATGTAATCTGCCTCCTTTCTCTCGTAGCTTTTAATATTCTCTCCTTGTTCTGTATGTTGGCTATCTTCGTAATTATATGTCTTGGAGTTGGTCTATTATGGTTTTGAATGTTTGGAGTCCTGTAGGCTTCCAGGATTTGGCAATCCACTCCATCTTTCATCTCTGGGAAGTTTTCTAGGATTATTTCATTTAATAGGTTGTCCATTCCTTTGGTTTGAACCTCGATACCTTCTTCTATCCCAGTGACTCTCAAGTTTGGTTTTTTAATGACATCCCAAATCTCTTAGATAGATTGCTCGTGAGATTTAAGCATCCTTTCTGTGTTGACTATATTCTTTTCAAGTTGATAAACTTTGTCTTCATTATCTGATGTTCTGACTTCTACTAGATCTAGTCTATTTGTAATATTCTCATTAGAGTTTTTAATTTGGTTTATGGTTTCCTGCATTTCTAGGATTACTGTTTGGGTTTTTTTTTTAATCTCTATCTCCTGGTAAAGCTCGTTCTTTGCAGTTTGAATTTGTTTGTTTAATTCGTTTTCAAAATATACTTTCATTGCTTGGACTTTCTGTCTCATGTCTTCTCTAATATTCCGTTCCATCTGAGTTAGGTATGCCTTGAGTTCTTTCCCTGTCCATGTTTCTGATGCTTCTAGGTCCTCCTGTAGATTTAAGTTGTCCTGCATTGTTTGTAATCCTTTTTTTTTCCCTTGTTTTTTCATGTTGTTCACGTTACTTTCCAGCTCTGTTTGACTGCTGTGTAACTGCTTTCTCCTATAAATTTGTTTTGGTTTTGTATATCTCTGTTGTCTCTCTTTTGTGGTGGGAGATTATGCCTAGAAATGTTGGGCTTTATTGTACTTTAGAGCTGATTCATTCAATTCATAAAAGGCTTCCGGGTTCTGTATGCATATTGTGATTAGTTGTTTGTTCGTAGGACTTTATGTTTAGGTTAGGTGCTATGATGGTATGAGGGTTAGTATGTCTTGGCTACTTTAGAAGATTGCTCTACTGAAGGGGGATACTAACAGGCGATTGGATCAGGGTGTTGGTAGTAGCTAGGTACTTAGGAGCCCTATAGACAGCCTCGAAACATTCACCTATTTGCATTTAGACAATTACACGTAATGGAAGACGTAATGCTTGGGATGAAAGTTGGGGGGTAGGGGAAGGAAGGTGCTCTTAAAAAGAAAGGAGAGAGAGAGAGAGAGATTAGAGGAGAATGAAAAGAACAATAAAATTTGAAACAGGAAAGAAAGAAAGAAGGAAAAGGGGAGAAAAGAACAGAGAGAGAAGAAAAAAAAGAAAAAAATTTGAAGTCTTAGAGATCCATTTTCTTCTCTTCCAGTAGGCGGAGCTATGCCCTCCGAGCCAAGCTTCTGCCATCTACGTGCCGATAGCAATCCCTGTAAGGCAGCTCCTGGGAGTCTCTCAATCTTGTCAGTCCAGAGCCGTTTCACTTCTCCAGCCCCTCCCCACTTGCTCCTGTCAGCCGGCCAGCCAGGTCCTGTTCACTGGAAGTGGTTCCCCAAAGATCTGGTTACACTTGCAGCCCCACCGCGCGTCCCATTTAAGCCCCAGTGCTGTGGTAAACTGGCGGCTAAGAACTTGGGAGTCGCCGCTGGTGATATGGGGAATTGGGGGTCGGGAATCCCCTCTGCTTCCCTACAGACATGCCCCCGGAGAGATCCCTGAGGTTTCCTGGCTGCTTGTATCTGGATGGGGTGGGAGTCACACACCTGCTAAAGTGGATTCCGCTGGGAAGGAATTCCCTCGGCCGAACTCCGGTGACGTCACCTCTGTGCTATGGCGGGTCCCAGGCTCCTTACCGGAGTGTCCGAAGGGAGGGGTGGGACTGGTCCGTCCCTGGTTGGCCTCAGCTCCCGGCTCGCTATTTCATGAAGGCTTGGCTAAAGACCTCTTCCTGCCAAGCTGCGTCTTGGAGGGTAGCCACCCAGTCACAGTGGCTACAGGAGGGTGGCCACGCCACGGTGCGTGGACAGCGGCTGGCGGGTCTGAACCTCTGGGTCTCGTGGCGGGGATTCACTCGTCTGGGGCAAACTGTCAATCTTTCTTCAGTGGAATTTTGCTAGGAGATTCTCCGCAGGTAGAATTTAAGCGTATCTATGCGTCTCTCTGACCCCATCACTGAGGAGGTACTGAAAGCGCTGCCTCTCCGCCTGCTGCCATGTTGGATCCTCACAAGAACATTTGTGATACCCCATTATATTTAATTGTTGTTTCTCTTTAACCTTCCCTTGATTGTTACAGTATTTTAGAATTCGACATCCTTATTTTTTATAATTTGAAGGCCCTTCCTGTTAGTAATCCATCTGCCTCACGTGATATGTGCATTCTTAAAGAGGCATGTGAAGTTGAGCCACAGATGATATCCTACTAATTTACATTTTAATTTTAGACTTGCTAGTCTAATGGGAAAATTTTTTTTTAAACCTGACAATTATAATATCTGTCTATCTCTCAAGCACTTAGTGATGCCAGGCATGGTGCTAAGTACTTTACCTAATCTCACTTAATTCTCACAACAGTCTCTGCAAAGCATATATATTATTATCCCCGTTTTCCAGGTTCAGAAATGGAGATTTGGAAAAGAGTGAGTAATTCACTCAGGGTTGCACAACTACTAAGTAGCAGAGCCAGGATTTGAATTGAGATCTGTCTCATTTTGGCAGATCTGTGTCTTCAAGCATAAGGAAAGTCTCAGTGGAGAAATTATTTGTTACATATTGGAAGGAAAGTGGTTTGTAACAAAAATAAAAGCAACCAGGCATGATGGTGCATACTTGTAATCCTAGCTACTCAGGAACTAAGGAGGTTCACAAATTCTATGCTAACCCCGGGCAACTTGGTAAGACCCTGACTCAAAAAGAAAAAAAAAAAAGGAATCAAGGGGAGTAGCTCAGTAGGGGAGCGCTTGCCTAGCATGTGCTAGCCCTGTCTTCAATCCCCAGTACTGCAAAATGAATGAAGGGATGAATGGATGAATGCAGTCCATATTACTGTATCACATCACGTCAAAATTTCTGTTACCAGAGAGACAGTGGGGAAAGAGAGACAGCCAGTGCTGTATTTTATTCCTTGGTTTCTCTGTTATATCACTGCCAGATGTATGGTTGCATTGTCTTCTAAAAAGAGGGGGAAAAAACATGGAATAGATCAGAGAACATAGAGAATGTATTGATCCTTTTTTTTCTTTCTTCAGTTTTAGAATCTAGCAAAGTTAGAAGTGAAATCTGTCTAGGATCAAAAAATGTTAAAAGAAGTAGATAACTAGTGGCTTCTCTATTACTAATGGCCTCTATTAGTAGCAATGTAAGATGGAAGCAGTCATCAATGAGTGCTACAGAGTACCACAAGCACATCTACACACTCAGCCTCTCCATGTATGCTGATGTTGACACACGGCAGGTACGCCCCCAGTGACAGGGTATTCCTGGCAGGTAGATCAGTGGTGATCTCCGCAGCTCAGGCACTTTGCAGAGGACTTTGGAGTTGCCCAATATTAACCACTACCACATGCCTCGGTGCTTTCGACAAGGCTGCTTCAGATCCTCCCTTTCCCCCTTTTTATTCTACTTGGCAAGTTCCAAAACCAGATGCTGCTTTTATGGAAAAGTCTAATTGCTGTGGAATCTAATGTATGTCCTACTTCCTTATCCAAATCTCCTCCTTCCTGTTCTGCTGACAGCCTTCCTGTGACTCATCTCCAGATTATGGGTAGTAAAGAACCACACCTCTCCCGGGTCTTGCCTGCACACACCACTTAGCGTCTTGGCCTCTGGAAGAAGACATTCGTGAATTATGTTAATCATGAGTTGTTAATAGAGACCTGCCTTAGAAACACAGAACAATAAATGACAAATTAGGTTTTCTTTCAGCCCCATGTGCTTGTCCCCCATATCCCACAGCCTAAACAATTTTTGTTAAGTCATGTGGCATGCGGCATGCCTGGAAGATTCAGCATACAGTAGCCTGTGCCAGGTTCATTTGTCAGTTCTAACATCTTAAATTGGTTTTGAATCATTAAAAAGAGACAAAAAGAAGCAAAACTTAGGTGCTTAACAGGCAGTGACGAATGAACCAAATGGTGACAAGATGTGGGAACTGAGCTTTCTGCACTTTTGACTGGTAGATACTTGTGAATGAATTCCTAGTGTTCATTCAATTTGATGTAACCATGAAAAAATAATGCCTATAAAATCCACATGCCAAATAACTCTGAGGCAGACACCTCCCTTGTTCACATTTCCCACTATAACAGGATGCCTTTTCTGTTCAGAGGATGAGAAAACATATCCTGCTAACATGCCTGTCTCACACACAGGCAGCCTCGTGACACAGGTCAGGCTGTTGATATTAACAAAAGTCTTCTGGGTATTTATGTGGAAGCTCTTGTGCTCCTGATCTGAGCAGTGTTCCTTCCAGATGATGACAAGCCTAGAGCTGTAGCAGCCATCTTACAGTCATGAGGCAATGAGTGTGAGCATTGTAGCTTACTGCTAAAGATGGCAGAGAAAGATGGTAGGGACTGTGTCCAGAATGGCCCACTGCCTCCTTTGCTAGCCCCAGACTTCTTTATCACTTTGACTAAACATCCCATTTGTTTAAGTCAGTGTTAATGTGGTTCTTTGTAACTTGAAGCCAAAGGCAATATGACCTTAGCTTCTGCTTCTAAATCCCCAAATTAAAGTTGTATTCTTAAGTTTAGAGAAAAGCCAAGTGACTATCTTACACTACTTTGGGTTCTGGATTTTGAGGCTCTTCAATAGCCTGTTGTATTTCTTACAGTCAACACTGATGTGATTAAATGTAAGCAAATGAAACAACAAACACATATGTAATTATACATGAACAGTTACTGGATCTCAGAATAAAGGTCAACTATTGCATCAATGGAGTTATATTACATCAATGGAATTATACCTTTTCAATTGGCCAAAATTGAGTCTTACAGTACCAAGTATCTGCAAGATCATGGAGAAATGGAATCTCTCATACTGCTGGTGAGTGGGTGAGCTGGTGCAGCAACTTTGGAGATGAGTGCACATGTGCACCAGTGGTAAGCAGAAGAACATTTGCTGTAACACTCTTTTATAAAAGTTAAAACCTAGAGACAGCCTAGGTGTCCAGTAGGGGAATAGATGAAAACACTGCAGTGCAGGCTAAAGGCCCTCAAACAGAACACAAGCAAAACCCTGATGTGCACATTGACATGGGGAGATTTAATGGTACCCTTGAGCCAGCACATGAGAGGCAAATGCTAAAATCACAGGAGTTTGGCAAACTGGTTGATATCACATCTGTAGCTGTGACAAGTACTTACAATATGGAAATTGGCAAAGGCGATAGATAATTCCTTTTCTGTCCACAAGAGATGGTGGTTAAATATTTCCCTGCACATCACATGGATAGATTTCAAAAAACAATATCTATTTTTAAAGGCAAGTCTTAGAAGAGAAGGAAATAGGGAGTTGTTGAATTGGTATCAAGTTTCAGCTATGCAAGATGAATTCGAGTTCTGGAGATCCGTCTAGCACAGCATAGTCAACAGTACTCTATTCAAAAATCTGTAAAGAAGGTAGATCTCATGTAGAGTTCTACATAATAAAGGGACACAAGGAAATTTTGGAAGTGATGAATATATTTTATTTTTGGGTACTCAGGATTTAACCCAAGGACGCTTAACCACTAAGCTACGTCCCCTTTTTATTTTTTATTTTGAGATGGGGTCTCACAGAATTTCTTAGCGCCTTGCTAAGTTGCTCAGACTGGTCTTGAACTTGAAATCCTCCTGCCTCAAGCTCCTGAGTCACTGGGATTATAGGTGTCTGCCACTGCAACCTGGCTGTGGATATGGTTTTTAATCTGAATTGTGGTCATGGCCTCACAGGTGGGGCATAGGCCCGGTTTCATCAAATTGTATCCATTGCATATACACCTCCAAAAAGCTATTTTTAAAAGTAAGCTGCAGAATAAACAACAGTACGATGGCATATGCTTAAAGTTTTAAAAACATGAAGAAATGTTATCTATTGGAAAAATATTAGTGAATACTAATAAAACATGGTCTAAAAGGATAGATGCTAAAATTGTGATAATCATTATCTCTGCAGAAAGCACTGTGATTGGGATGGTGAAAGGAAGAAGGTGGCTAGAACACTTTGTTACTTTATTTTATTTATTTTTGTTTTTTATTTTATTTTAAAATATCTGGAGCCAAGAAAAAGTGTTAACACTGGTTGGGTGGTAAGTATAGACTATTTATCCTCTTTACTTATTTCTGTTATTTAAATTTCAAACTTAAAGGGCAAAAAAGGTGGGGAGTCAAAGAAAATTTGCTCATCATTTTTCATGGATGCTGTTGGTGGGACTATCACATGGTAAGCCACTGAAAGAAAGAGTTTGGCCAACTCAGAAGGTCAGGGGTCCTGTGTTTCCTCTACTATGTAGAAGAGAAAGGTGGCAGAGAATCATATGAAAATTGAAGGGAAGAAAGGAGCCAGGGAAGGGAAAGGGGAAATCCTGGGGAATGACATTGGTTAAATTATATTGTTATACCACGTGTATCTACGAAGTGTGTCACGACAAGTCCCACCATTATGTACAACTGTAATGCACCAATAAAAATAGGGGGGAAACATTTTTAAAAAATGAAATGGTTTGACATGTCCTCAAAAAAATAAATAGAATTACCATATGGCCCAGCAAATCAGCTGAAGGTATATACCCAAGAAAATAGAAAAAATGTGTTCAAACAAAAACTTGTACATAAATGTTCATAATAGCAAAACTCATAAGAGTGAAAGAGTGGAAACAACCCAGATGTCCATCAGCTAGGAATGGGATAAATAAATTCAGTTTATAAACTAGGTTGGCTGAAAGGAAAAGTAAGTGATGGTGAGAATGTGAAGAAATTGGAACCCTAGTGCATTGCTGGTGGGAGTGGATAGGGTGCAGCCACTTTAGAAAATAGTTTTGCAGTTCCTCAAAAAGCTAAACATAAAGTGGCCATATGATCCAGAAATTCCTCTTTTCCATATAACTCAAGAGAAAGCATACATCTTTAAGATGTTTAAACTTCTGCATGAATATTCATGGCAGCATTATTAATTATAGTATGTCCATATTATTCAGCCATAAAAAAGAGTGAGGGACTGATACATGCTACAACATGAATGGACCTTGAAAACATTCTGCTAACTGAAAGAAGCCAGTGGCTGAAGATCATATGTTGTATGCTTCTATGTCCTGTGATTCCATTTACATGAAATTTCCAGAATAGGCAAATTCATAGAGCCAAAAAATAAATTAGTGGTTGCCAGGGGCTGAGAAGAGGGGAAATGGGGAGTAACCATTTGATTAGTATAAGGTTCCCTGTTCCAGAATTAACTAGTGATAATAGTGAAAAATTCTGTGAATGAACTTAAATTTGCTGAATTGTACACTTTAAAATGGCTAATGTGAATTTTTATGTCATGTGAGTTTTACATCTATTTAAAAAGCCATTTAAACTATGATGCATCATCTATACTAAAATGATACTACATTGTAGGAAAAAATGAGTCCTTAGAGTTGATGAATGTGATACATATTTGATTACATAGAAATTTGAAGTTTTTATATAAACAGGTTAGGAATTTTGTTTTTGTTTCAAGAAAGTTCTGATATGAACAGGGCCCATGAGTTATCTCCAGGGCTCAAGAACCCAGAATCCTGTATATCCTATATTCAGTGTTTGGTTTCCGTCCTCAGAGTTACTTGATGGTGCAGAGATGGCTGCTGGAATGCAAGCGATCACTTCACATCACAGGAATGCAGCAGGAAGAGGGAAAGGACACAAATGCCTTCCTCCCAGGTAAGTGAACTCTCTTGGATCAGGATAAAAGTATGGTTAAATAAATCATGAGCATAATCCGTAAATGGGAAAAGCTCTATGAAAACAGCCTCCTTATTTGTTTCATTAAAGTATGAAACAGGATCTAGCACAGAGCACATTGAAGGCACTAAAAGAACAATGTGGGAAATGACTATACCTGCAAGGATATGGATAATGTATCATACAACCTTTTAATTGTTTTCAAAAATAATAAACAGGGAAATGTTCATTAAAATGTGAGGAAGTAGAATATTAAAGCATACTTCATCTAGTCCCAATTTTATTTAAAAAGCTACATATGCCTCAAAAAAAAGTTTGGAAGAAATATAATTTCTTAAGTGATTTTCTAAATTTATGGTGAAATTGCTTTGGCATTTAATTATTTCTGCCTACTTGTATACTTTTCCAAATTTCTGCAATGAGTGAAAGTACTAATTTTTCTATTTAGAAACAAATCAATAAGCTTAAAGCCAACTAGAAGAGGTACACGACAAAGAGGGCACCAACAGCCACTTGAGCCATGAAGGGAGCGAGCCCAAGCACCTGCTTTAGGCTTCCTTCCCAGCAGCTGTACTGTAAGGCTGGAGGGAGATGCTGGCATGCGAAGCTGTGCTGGCCCCTGCATTTTGGGGTAGTAAATTGTTTCTCTACTGATAGCACATTTTTTTCCTTCAGCCTAATGGATGTTCAAATAGATCTCATTCTTTCAACATGAAAACAGTGTTACCACAGGGAAGATTACTCATCCATCAGAGTAGACTGTCCCTCTGTTCCCACATGCATCCACCTGATCACTTCACATGATCACATTGATTACTGAACTCAGGACTTCTTAGCATGGGATGCACCCACCTCTATCACCACACCCCAGAATACCTGTTCCTATTGCTGTGGCTAAATTGTGTCCTCCTCTAAAAATTCAAATGTTGAAGTTTTAGTATCCCAGACTATGACTGTATCTGGAGACAAGGTCTTTTCATTGTATTTTTCATTTTTAAAAATTTTTTAGTTGTAGATGGGCACAGTACCTTTATTTTGTTTATTTGTCTTTATGTGGTGCTGGGTAACAAACCCAGTGCCTCACCCATCCAGTACTACACTACTGAGCTATAGCCCCATCCCTTATTTTCATTTTTTGCAGTACTGGGAGTGAACCCCAGGCCTCACACATGCTAAGGCAAATGCTCTAACACTGAGCTTCCTCCCCAGCCCAGGGAGAGGGTCTTTAGAGAGGAAATTAAGTTAAAAGATTATTAGTATAGACACTAGTCCAGCATGGCTAATGTCCTTATAAGAAGAGGGCATCAGTAGACAGGCATGTACAGAGGAGGACCCTGTGGGGACAGAAAGGGAAGGAAGCTATCTGAAGCCACAGACAGTCCTTGGAAGAAACCACCCCTGCTTCTGGAGACTTCTGGTCTCCAGAATTGTAAGAAAATAAATGTCTGTTATTTATTGCCACCCAAAGATTCTTCGTTAAGCTAGCCCTGGCAAACTAACATTATAATCCATCATGCTGATGATGTTTGGTAACTGGTTAAAATTGAGTCACCTTGGCTAGATTCTGGTGCTCAGTTGTTTGGTTAAACACCAGTCTAGATGTTGCTGTGAAGGTATTTCTTAGATGTGATTAATATTTAAATCAATAGAGTTCAAGTAAAACAGAACACCATCCATAATGTGGATGGCCTTGTCCAGTCAGTTGATGGCCTCAAGTGAGAGGACTGAGTTCTCTGAAGAGGGAGAATAATGCATCCAGTCTGCCTTCAAACTCCAGACCACATCAACTCTTGGTAGAATCTGCAGCCTGCCAGCCAACCCCAACTCCCCAGGCCCCACAATCACAAGAGCCAGTTCCAGAAAGATCTTGCTCTTGCTGTCTAGAGCTCTCTTTCTCTCTCTCTCATGTATGTATAAACATACCCACACATATACATGTGTATGCATATATGCATGTGTGTGTATATATGTGTATATGTGTAAACCACGTAACACCAGCCCTTGGTCACTACAGCAGATTTCTCCAATGACTACTGCATAATATTCTGCATACTTTACTCTGTGCTCTTGCACTCATTTTATGTAAGATATATATTTACTTATTTCCAGATTTGTAGATGGAAGAACTGGCCAAATTCTTGCATCCAAGTAAATTAATTCCTCAGCTTGCAGTTCTCTTTTAGGTTTTCATGAATGGTACTGGGTTTTGCAAGAGGATCTCACAGCTGAATGCAGAGAAAAACGGAGAGGGAGCATTCATCCAGAAGCCTCACCATCTACACTACAGTGTGCTGACAACCAGGAAATTCCAAGAGGATGAACAATTACAGTTATAATTTTCAACTGTCTTTGTTATGAGCATCCTGCCTTTGCCTTTCTGTCCTGCCTAATCTTGTTTTACCCTGTACATTTACTGCCTCACTTCCTTCTTCAGAAATGGCAAGTTTTCTTTCTGCTCTGTTAAGTATGTAAATATCTTTAATGCAGAGAGATGAGGGAGGATAAGTGAGCTACCGATGTAGAGGGTTTGTCCAGGAGAAATGCAAAGATGGGAGACAGGAAAAAAATCAGGCAGGTCTGGGGAATGTGGAAGCCTATGAAGTGTCCGTTGGGCAGGGCATGGGGAGGAGTAGCAACGATGAGAAATGACCTTCACTTTCTCCTGGGACCAGGGACACATTTGTGATGGAAGATAGCTGTGTCACTTATGGGATCAAGTGCTAAATAAAGCTAATAGAACTACATAGATTGCACTCAAGATATGACTTCTTGTCCCCTCGCTCTAAAAGTTACTGTACAAATATTTTCTTTTCCTAATGTGCCTATGAATTTCTAATTTTGAAGAGGACTTCTATAAAAGGGGGAGAATGTGAAGACGAGCGAGGGCCAACAGTTGTCCCTGAAGAAGATTCAGGTGCCTGGGGAGAGCCAAGGAAGGGCTGGTCTTTGCCAGGTGAGACAGCCCAAGGGCAGATACCAAAATGACTTGAAGTCTTGCTCCCCATGACGCTAAACAGCACTGTCCATTAGACTTTCCCATTCACACCAACCAGTTTGGTGACTCCGACTATATGTGGCTAATGAGCACTTGAAATGTTACAGCAACTGAGCAAGTTTGACCACTGAGCTATGGAACAAATGACTGTTCAGTCTTATTTTTAATTAAAATTCAGTTATTTAGCCATGGCTGTTGGTGCCATTTTGATCAGCACAGCCACCAGACTTCATGACATATTGACCAACAAGTCCCCCAGGGTAGTTTGGAGAAGGAGCACTGCAAACAGATGAGCTCGTGATCCTCTTGCCACTGTGTGCTCCTCACCTGCAGTGCTGAAGAGGTGGGAGTGAGAATCGAACCCTGGCCGAGGAGCTGGGCCAGGGCAAATGGTGAATCAGCGCATCCTGTGCAGGAAACACTACCAATCGTATTCGCCAAGCGTGCTCTCACAAATCCCTGACTGGGAGTTGCTTGGAACTCCAGAAGAAAATCAAAACACCCCACTTTGACTTTTCTGGAAGGTGGGATTCTTTTGTGTTTACTTCAATTTTTGCAAGATTTAAAAGAAAATCCCTCCAACTGTTAAAGAGCTTTAGAAATAGGAAAAATTAACATTCGTCATGCTCATCTTCTGAGAATTTTTTATTCAAGTAATTAGAAGTGAGCTGAACCTCAAAAGTCCAAATACTTCATTTGATAGATTGAACAAGCATGTTTGTCATTTGGTCCCCAGCTCACGTGTGTACCTTCAGCCCCATTCATGCATGCAAGGAGGGAAATGTGCTTTGCTGAGCTAAGCCACAGGCTCAGAAGCTCTGAGGCAAAACCCTGCCTCCTCTCCTTAATGACAGGAGGGACACCACTGGGCCTCCACAGGCCTCGCCAGGATCATGTAGACAGCTGGGGGAGAGGCTTTCTTGGGATTTCTTTGAGGAAGAGGATCAGAGCTATTAGAAAGCATTTTAACAAAGGAAAAGTACCTCCAAAGTCGATCATAATGAGTTACATATTTGATTTCCCCTGTTTTCGAGGGAGAAAAACTCTTTACTAGATAATCTCAAGGTAACAAAAGTGCCATTAGGTTTTACATGTCTGTTTTTAAGAGAATTATTACAAATTGAAAGGGAAGTGAGTGGCTGCCACAGACACTGTGACCCATTTTCAAATAATGATTGTGACTTGAGTCATTTCTGAGAAACAAGTTAACAGATTCTTCCATTTTGACCACCGGGTTATATTGCTCAAGTCCATTTGCTTGTGCCCATTGGAAGACTCCACTGCACATTATTTTGGAGATGGTCATCCTGAGTCAGACTTGAGTAATCGTGGCTAAGAAGTTTGGTTTCCCTTTTGTTTATTTTTCACTCAACGTTCTGTGTCTACCCCATTTTTTTCTTTTCTCCGCTGAGCCACTTAAGCACATGAATAATATTCTTAAAGAACAAAAAGGAAATTTCCATATTGTGAAGGAACTCCACTCAGAATAGAGTGCCACATAATTTATTATCCAAACTGAATGTAATGGTTTGGATGTGAGGTGTCCCCCAAAGAGCTCCTCTGTGGATGCAGGCGTGTTTAGAGGTCAAGTGATTGGACTGTGAGAGCTTTCACCTAGTCAGCCCATCCTAGTTTGAATAGACTGGGTGGTGACTGTAGGCAGGTGGGGCATGGCTAGATGATGTGGGTCACTGGGGCTGTGCCCTGGAAGGGTACAGCTTCCCTGCACACCTTCTCTTGATCCTGCCATGAGCTGAAAAGCTTTACTCTGCTGGACTCTGCTCATCATGATGTGCCACCTCTCCTTGGGCCTAAAGCAGTGAAGTTGGCCATCTCTGGACTGCCAACTCCTAAAACCATAAACCTCAAATAAACTTTGCCTCCTCTAAGTTGTTCTTGTTCAGTATTTTGGTCACAGCAATGAAAAGCTAACTAAAACACTGAGACATGTCAGAGAATGAAAGGAGGTGATCATTTTAGTAATTATACTGGGGCAACAAGAATAAACTAATCACCCTAAATAAAGACATTTTTTTTAAATATGTAAAGATGATCAGTCTTATTGGTTACAAAGCAAATGGGGCCATCATATGCCCACCAAATGGGTAAAAATTTAAAAATACAACAATGTCAATGTTAGAGACTTGGAGCAATTGGAACTCATTTCATGCTGTTGTAAGTACATTTTACAACCACTTTTGAAAACAATTTTACATCATCTAGTAAAGATGAACGTGAAGAAATTATTACCCTATGATTCAGTAACTTTACAACTGGAATACTCAAAAAACTTCTTTATGAAAACCTAAAACTATAATACATTGAAATGGGCACCTTTAAATAATAGCTACATTCATCAATATCAATAAGTCAAACATTTAATTTATTGATAGAAGCAAGTCAAAATACACAGCCATGTACCTGAGTACAAAGGAACTAAACAAGACGCACACTTGGGTGGTGAGACGATAAATAAAAGCATGGGTGTCTGTGTTGGTCAGCTTTCCATTGCTGTAATAAATACCTGAGATAATCAGCTTGGAAAAGGTGTTTTTTGGCTCATAGTTTTGGAGGCCTTGGTCCCTGGATGGTTGGGCCCCGTTGCTTTTGGACCTGTGGAGAGTCGATGCGTCATGACGGGAGCAGGTGGAAGAGCAGAGCTGTTCACGCCGGGGCTGGGAACAAAAGGACCAGGATGGCCTTTGAGGGCACACCCCCAATGACCTAAAGGCCTCTTGTAGGCCCCACCTCTTAAAATTTCTGTTGCCTCCCACACTGAGGACCAAGACTTTACCACGGGGACTTTGGGGAACACATGAGGTCCAAACTACAGCAGCAGGATTAATTCTAAAGTTAGGACGGTGGTGGCTCCTGGGGGAGGGAAGACCACAGTAAAGACGCCTTCTAAGGTCTGGAAATGATTTCTTAACCCCAGTGTTGGATATGGATTTATTTATCCCTCAGAGTGGAAAAACACTGTGTTAAGTTAAATGAGGAAAAGGACGGCCATTAGAGCTGCCACCCTCTGGGCTCTTTCTGCCTCTGTGCTTGAGCAAGGCCTTGTAACCAGTTCTGGCTGAAGACATCTGAGAATAATGATGTGTATCATTTCCAGGCCAAGAACTTGTTGCCATTGCTGGGCCCATCAGAGCCTTCTTTTCCTCAGGCGTGGTGATTGTCATTGCTCCAGATTGGCAGCTGCTCCACCACCCTGGAGTGAGGACAGCATGGATTGGGGTCCTCTGCCAACCTGCAATATATAGAAAGAGCAAGAAATAAGCCTTCATTGTGTTAAGCTACTCCAGATTGTTAGGATGCCATAAACCAGCCTTTCCTGATGACCTAGAGAATGACAGTGGTGGGTTCTTATCTTAATGCCATAAAAGTTGATCATGGAAAGAGTGGAAGAAAGAATATGTCTTTTTTCCACATTTTTGTACCTATTGGTGGGATTTGTGGTTACATATTCATATATGATACAATATAACTATATAATTTGTTCAGTATCCACTTCCCAGAACTCCCCCACTCCCTCCCCATTGGTTCCTTTCCTCTACTGATCTTCCTGTGATTTTTAGGACATCCATCCCCACCTTTCTTTTCCTTTTTCCTCTCTAGCCTCCACATATGAAAGAAAACATACAATCCTTAACCTTCTCATTTTGGCTTATGTGGCTTTACATGATGATCTCCAGTTCCATGTGTGAGAAAGAGCATTTCTGACCCAGGAAACGTCCCAGTACAAGGGCCTTGAAGTGGGACTGAATTTTGAGGAACAAGAAGAATGCCAGAGGGGAAAGTGGCGAGGAGAGGAGAGATCAGTAAGAAACGTGACCACAGAGGCTAGCAGAACTCAAGAATTGTAGACCATGGTCAAGAACTGATGTCTATCCATAGGCAGCCACAGCTGGGCTTAGGTAGCAGGATGACATCATACAGATCTCATTTTAAAGAGGGTAATTCTTGCTGTTGGGGAAAGATATAGGCGGAGGGCAAGCACTGACCCACATAGCCCACTTAGCCACCATTGAGCTTCAGTGGTGTCAGGCAAAGCAGAAGTGGAATTTTTAAAAAAAAAAAATTAATGGGCACAATACCTTTTATTTGTTTATTTTTATGTGATGCTGAGGATTGAACTCAGTGCTTCACACATGCTAGGCAAGCTCTACCACTGAGCCACCACCCCAGCCCCAGAAGTGGAATTTTTGAAAATGTGGTTTTTTAGATGGATCTGACAGAACTTGCAAAGATGGGAAATGGAGATTGAAGGAAGGAGAAGGCTCACAGTTGACCTTCATGTTCTGGGTTGACAACTGTATTTAAGATGGGGCCATTTATTGAAAAGGGAACAAATGAGAACAGATTTGAAGACAGCAAGTGGAGGTTGGCTTTGGATATCTATTGGCATCCATGTGTATATGTTCAAAGGAAAAAAAAACACTAAATAGAAAATGTCACCTCTCAGAGGAATGAGCCAAAGATGTCAATGTTTGGAAGTTAGGATTTAAATGATATTTAAGTCAGGAAATTAGATTAGATCATCTCTAGAGAGGTTATAAATAGCAAAAAGATGTAGCAATGAGAATAACCCAGCCAAATATATGGACATTGGAGCCAAGAGAAGCAAGTGTATTTTGATGCTTTTGAGAGGTTGAGTGAGACACGCGGTGGTGACAGTGTCAGGCACCCGTAGGCCACCAGTGACTTCCACAAGAGAAGCCGTGGTGCAGTTGTGCAATGGAAAGCCAGACAGGGAGAGCTGAGGAAGGAATGGAAAACAGAGTACAGAGAATTTTCATGTTAAGTGTCACTCTGAAGGGGAACAAGGTAGGCTGGAGGAACTCTGGGAAAAAAGCGATTGTTTCTTTTAAGATGGGAGATGGGTCTGATGGAGCCCCAGGAGTGAGGAGCAGATCGATGACACAGGAGATTAGCACGTTCATTCCCAGGAGAAGACATGGGTCTGATCCAAAGATGAGAGATTCTTCTTCCAAGGATGGAAAACACAGGTCTGGGTTGGTTTTATTGGTCAGAGTGTGCCTGGGCATGTGGCAATTTTCATTGACTTAGAGACAAAATAAATGAAATAGAATTTGGTGGAATTGAACAAAGGCTTGAAACTGCATGTTGAAAGGATTTCGTGAAACATCAAATTAATGGAAACCATTAGTCAAGCCTTATACAAGTCTTGGTGAATAGGGAAACTTAAGGATAAAAAGGAATCCTCTCAGCATGTTAGTAGAAAATAAAGTTTACAAAGGGATGGTTAGGCTGCCCTTCTGGTCTACCAGGACGAAAGAGCTCCTATCAGATTAATTCTTAATGGAAACAACTATAAAAGGTGTTCGATATCATTTAAAATATCAGGAGAACATGTCACCAGCGCAGGATTAGAGGAACTGATGCCCAAGACGGGAACACTATGAGGTGGAGCTACATTTACCTGGCTTTTCCCTTCACTGCCCTTGCAGCTTGACAGTACTGCTGGGAACAGAGTCCTGTAGAGAGCCGGGAGAGAGAGACTATATAACTTGCATATGTGGGAAATTCAAAAGAATTAATAGATGCATTGTTAAAATTAATAAAAGAATATAAAATCAGTGTTAGAAAGTCAATCTTATTTTTACATACAACAACAACAAAAAATAAACAATGGGATTTTTAAAAACCAGGCTGGCTTCATATCCTATTATGATATATGGTATTAGAAGATATGAGAACATTGTCTAATAAGTTTTGAGGGGAGATGTTTATGACCTGGTGAATTTTCCATGAGATAATAGAAAAACAGATGTGCCAGGTGGTGCTTGTTTGAATGGTGAAATGTAGGAGCGCTTCTTGATGGTGGCTATTTTCCATTAAAAGTTACTTGATCCTCTACCTCAGCCACCCACAGAATGAATCAAGATAAAGAACCCATTGTTAGCCAGGCGATTCTGAAGGCTAATACAGAAGAATTTCCAGTCAGAGGTCAGCCTAAGCAACTTAGCAAGACTCTGTCTCAAATGAAAAAGGGCTGGACTGAATGATGAAGTTGATCAAATTATGTTAGGGCATGTACGGATATATCACAATGAATTCCACTGTGTTGCATAATGCACCAATTTAAAATATTTTGGAAATTGCCAGAGAGTTAGAAAAAAAGTTAAAAAGGGCTAGACGTGTAGTTCAGTAGTAGAACGCTTCTGTGTTCAATTTCCATAAATGCAAAACAAAATAAAAATAAAAAATAAAAAACACTTCATGAATGAGGAAGACATAGTTTGAAAAGAATGGTGGCAGTTAACATTGGATTATTTGAAAATGAACAATCTGTAAGATACTTTTAAATGCATAACATACTTTCTAGGCAAGTATGCAAAATACAACTTTTAGGGTAACAAATGGATCAGAATAGGTCACAGAATTGGAGTGTAGAAGATAATTTTCTTAAATATGACAGTGTCCCAATGGTCACTGGAGAATTATGGACCTAAATGTTTATTTAGCTTTTTATCAAAGTGTAATATTCATACATAACTAGGCCCATATAGTAATTATACAGTTTATCAAATGTTCACAAAGTGAGCATATCCTTGCAACTATAATATAGATCAGGCAATAACATGCCAGAATCTGAAGAAGTTAGTATTTTTTAATTAAAAATAATAGCTAGTAGAACAAAATTAAAAGACAGAAACCTCCCTGGTCCCAAAAATAATAATAATAGTGTATTAAAAAGTCACAGTTCTTCTAAGTGAACAGAAGAGGGTGCTCTTGAGCCGTGAAATGCAGTAAGTCTTCTAGATCTTCATTCTTGCCAGTTATTGCTGGTCTAGGAGAAATAGAACTTTGTCAAATAAATGGGATGTGGCAGACAACATCCAGAGTCAGTAGGAAAAGAGAAACAAAAGTAAAAACATTTCAGCTGGCAAAAATCCCCCCAACTGATAAAAAATTCTGAAGCAGAAAGAAATGGATGAATATTACCAGCCTGACTTAAACTTGTGAGATATGAAAAAACACATCTAGAATCACAAATTCAAAGATCCAGAGGAGAAATAGATTTTAAAACAGCAAACAAAAACCCAAGGGAAATATAAAATGAGAATCTTGCAGTAATGTCGGCAGAACTTCTTTGGAACCCTCTTTTTGCAAATGGCAACCTTAAATTCCACGCAAAATATTTTTTAAGACTACGTCAAAAAAAAAAAACTACTTGAAGGCATTAGAGGATAAAGAAAAAGAGGCAGAGGAACATGGGGAACAGACACTTGGCAGAAGAGAATAACAGCAGTGTGTCAGTTTTCCATTCTTATGGCTTTTAACCTTATGTCAGCCCACAGTTGTTCATTCTTCATAGAAGTAACTAAAACTTGGGTGGAAACCCACACTCTCATAGCTTCAAGAATCAAAGGACAGAGTGAGAGGTAACTACCACAGATTTAAAGATAGGGGTGGTTGTGTGCTGTGTCCCCCATAGGTCATATATCCTAACCCCCAGTACCTTGGAATGTGACCAGGTTTGGAAATAAGGTCAGCAGATACACTAGTTAAGGTAAAGTGTTACTAGAGCAGGTGGCCCCTAATCCAAAATGGTGGGTGTCTAAAAGGAAGCTTGGCACAGGCACTCACAGGGAAAATGACCTGTGAAGACTGGAAGACCATATAGCACCACTGTTTCAGAATCTTACACACATGTAAAACAAGTTTTAAAGAATAAAGAAAACAGGGCTGGGGATGTGGCTCAAGCGGTAGTGTGCTCGCCTGGCATGCGTGCGGCCCGGGTTGGATCCTCAGCACCACATACAAAGAAAGATGTTGTGTCCGCCGAGAACTAAAAAAATAAATAAATATTAAAAATTCTCTCTCTCTCTCTCTCTCCTCTCTCACTCTCTCTTTAAAAAAAAAAAGAAAGAAAACAGACTACACAACCAGTGTATTAAGTTAAACACAAAGTAAATATAACATTAAGGAATTTATTGACTTAATAAAAGGCATCACTTGCTGCAGTCCAGCTGCAGCAAAATAACCAGGGGGTGACAAGCAACTTGTATAGATTGATACAGCAGGAGTGGGAGCCGTTTATTGTAGGACAGGAGGGGTATTTATACATTACACACAGCTTATCTAATTAACATAAACTAGATACAGCAGTCAACCAATAAGGAATCTCCACACTTAATGGCTTGCTGGCGTTACTTCACAAACCACTCCCTCTGGCAAAATGCCAGGCACCATCTTGACTTGTTTACAGACCTTAACAATCACTCGTTTCCATACTTGAAATAAATAGAAATTCACCTCCTAAAGGAAAAAGACTTCAGGTTGACTCCCAAAGCAAAATCCTTGAATCAATGGTTCAGAATTTCTAAAAACACATACATAAAGGTGCAGTGGACAACAAGCTATAAGAAAGCAGATTGTGAAAATGAGGCCAGAAGATGTTGCATCTAAACAAAAAAATCTTTAAATGAGACAGCAAAACCCTCACATCAAGAACCACAATTCATGGTGATAATATGTTACTTACAAATATATATGACACACGTATCACGGCAATTATCATTATAAATCAAACTTATGGATATAAACGAAGAAATACACAGAACTACACTAAAACTAGGAGATGTCACATTTAGTTCAAGACAGGACTCAGGTTGAAGATTACAGAAAATCTAACCAGCATAATCATGCATTGAATATACATATGTTTAATAAGAATAAAGTTCCCCCTTCTCCCCCATAACAGAGCCCCACATCAAGGGCATGCCAGATATTTCTGCATTACTGCCTCAGAGCCCCCCGGAAGTCAGATACTCATTGTCAGAAACTGAAAGCACAATTCTGATATTGAAGCCTGAAGAACGGTATTTGGAGATGGGGACCTTGGCAGAGAATTAGGTTCAGAGGTGGCCCTGAGAATGGGGTATTCATAGTAGGATAAGTGCCCTTATAAGAAGAGGAACATTTCTCAGAAGATGATATACAATCAATCAACAAATACATGAAAAAATGTTGATCATCACTAGCAATTAGATGCAAATGAAAACCACTCTAAGATTTCATCTCACTCCAGTCAGAATGGCAGCTATTATGCATACAAACAACAATAAATGTTGGCGAAGATGTGGGGGAAAAGTCCACTCAATACACTGCTGGTGGGGCTGCAATATGGAAAGCAGTATGGAGATTTCTTGGGAAATTGGGAATGGAACCACCATTTGACCCAGCTATCCCTCTCCTTGCTCTATACTCAAAGGACTTAAAATTAGCATACTACAGGGACACAGCCACATCAATGCTTATAGCACCACAATTCACAATAGCTAAACTGTGGAACCAACCTAGATGTTCTTCAATAGATGAATGGATTTTTTTTAAAGTGGCATATATACACAATGGAATATCACTGAGCAATAAAAGAGAATAAATTCATGGCATTTTCAGGTAAATGGATGGAGAAGATAATACTAAGTGAAATTAGCCAATCCCAAAAAAACAAATGCCGAATGATTTCTTTGATATAAGGAGGCCGATTCATAGTGGGATAGGGAGCAGGAGCATGGGAGGATTAGACTCTAGATAGGGCAGAAGGGTTGGAGGGGAAGGGAGGGAGCATGGGGTTATTAATGATGGTGGAATGTGATGATCATTATTATCCAAAGTACAGGTAGGAAGACACGAATTGGTGTAAATATACTTTGTATATAACCAGAGATATGAAAAATGGTGCTCTATATGTGTAATAAGAATTGTAATGCATTCTGCTGTCATATATAAATAAAAAGTAAATTAAAAAAAAATTTAAAGAAGAGATACCAGAGCGTTTGCTGAGTGCTGTCTCACTCCATCCTGTGAGAACACATTAGATTTCAGCAGGCAAAAGAAAGAGTCAACAATTTTGTAGATACGTTTCTAGATTGTGCAGTCTGGAGAACAGTGAGAAAAAACATGAAAAATGAACAGAGCCTCAGAGGAATGCAAGACACCATTAATCACAGCAGTATCACTGTAATGAGAATGGGCGGGAGGGATGAAGAGGAATCATGACTGAAAACTTTCCAATCTGCACATCCAGTCAACCCAGCAAACCCCAAGAAAGAGAGAGAGATACACACAGGATACTTGGTATGACAGCAGCAAGATGGAGGAGTGGAGTTTCCAGCATACAGCCCACCATGCTCACAGATACCCTCACCAGCACTAAGGAACCCAGCAGATGCATCTGTCTGGAGCACAGCAATAAGGAAAGATGCATTTCACATGACACCAACCCATCCCCAAGCACAACATGAAGAGAAACACCCTCCACCCGAAGGAAGAAGAGTGAAATGAGCACCCATCTCCACGGTGGACCAGGACCACCCAGTGAACCCTGATGGCACTCCAGATAGACTAACAAAAGGAGAAAAAATATAAATAAAAAGGAAGACATTACAACTGCCTTATGATCTAACAGTCCCACTTCTAAGTGTGTACCCAAAAGATATCAGCATCTCAAAAGAGGTGACTGCACTCCCATGTTCTTTGCAAAGTGCAGATGCGACCGGAGTGTCCATTCACAGATGAACAGGGGAAGAAAATGTGGTCTACTATGGACTATTATTCAGACATGAAAAAGAAGGGAGTCCTACCAGTTGTAACAGGATAACCTGAAGGACATTGAGCTGAGTGCAACAAGCCAAACACAGACAAATACTGTATGATCTCATTGGTAGAAATCTAAAAAAGGTGAATTTATAGAAGCAGAGAGTAGAATGGTGGTTGCCAGGGGCTCGAGAGTAGAGGAAATGGAAAGGTATTGGTCAAAGAATAGAGTTTCACTTATGCAGAATGAATTTAACAGCCCGGTGACCAAGGTAAATAGCACTCTATTGAATATTTGAAGTTTGCTAACACAGCAGATCTTAAATATTCTCACCACATCCACATGAGATGGTGGATGTGTTAATTAAGTTGGTTGTGGTAATTATGCTTTCTGACCATAACTGAATTAAATTAAAAATCAATAATAATAAGTTAGAAAACTTCACATTTGTGGGAAATGTAGGATATTAACTTCTGGGGTTGCGGAGTAAAGGATTTATAAGAACTCTATTATTTTGCAACTCTTTTATAACTCCAAAAGTATTCCAAAATAAAAATATATTTTTAAAAAAGCCACTGAAGACAAACCACAGATTGGATGAAAAAGGAAAATGGACTCTAGATAAATAGAGATCTCTAGGCTTTATAAAAGAACTTACATCCAGAATTTATTTTTTAAAAAACTCCTACACGGGCTGGGGATGTGGCTCAAGCGGTAGCGCGCTCACCTGGCATGTGTGCAGCACGGGTTCGATCCTCAGCACCACATACCAACAAAGATGTTGTGTCCGCCAAAAACTGAAAAATAAATACTGAAATTCTCATTCTCTCTCTCTCTCTGTCTCTCTCTCTGTCTCTCTCTCTCTCTCTCTCTCTCAAAAAAAAAAAAACTCCTACAACTCAACCATAAAAGACAATCCAAATAAAATTGGATAAACTATTTCATAAAAAATATAGGAGTGGTCTGTAAACACATAAAAAGTCATCCAACATCCTTATTAATCAGGGAAATGTAAATTAAAACCACAAGGTACCACTTCACACATATTTGAACATAGAGTTTAAAATGGCACAACAGCTTTGAAGGTTTCCATAGTTTTTTATAAAGTTAAATATCTACCAACCATAGGACCATGAATTTCAACTCCTGAGTGCCTCCCCAAGAGAAATGAAATGTATCTTTACAAAATGACTTTCACACAAATATTTATGTTATATTTATTTGGCTCTTGCCCATAAGATCCAAAACCTGAAAATAATCTAAATGTTTAACAGGCAGATGGAGAAATGGTAATATGGTATTCATCAATAAACAGGAATGGTTACTGATCTAAACAGCATGGGTGAATCTCAAAAAGTGTATTAGGGTTCTCCAGAGAACCCGAACCAATAGAAGATACAGATGAAATTAAATTAGATTAGATTCAATAGATATAAAGAGAGACAAGAGAAAGAGAAAGATATTTATTATGGTAATTGGCTCATGTGATTATGGGGGCTGAGAAGTCCCACCTTCTGCCATCTGCAAGCTGGAGAGTTGGAACGCCTAGAAATCTGGCCAGGGGGCAGCGGGTGCCACAGGAGTTCCAAAGTCTCAGGGCAGGAGAAAATGGATGTCCCAGCTCAAGAAGGGAGACAGAATTCAGAATT